CATGTAAAGAACATCATCAGAACAAGGGATCATCATAACAACCAAATTCAAGCAAATGAGTCAAGCCAATCGACAGCTGGTCAAGAAGTATCTGCCGTCGTCTTCTGGTGGATTCGACCTTTAAATCTCTTAACCAAACACTTTGACTCGAAATGGAAGTAAGCAGAAAAGACTTCGTATAATCAAGGGTATAAAGACCAAGATGGCATGGCCATTTGTGCGGTCGCAGTCTCCTTTCGTTGTAAAGAAGAACGCACCTAGTCCGGAATCCATTATATGCATGATCATTTTCAAAGTTGGACCGTATACGTGGTACATTTCGAGACGTTTCGTCGGCATCGTCACTGAGTCTTGCCATTCTTAGCACCACACTACAACTCGTCAAAGAGACAAGACTAGTTGTAGTGTGGTGCTAAGAATCGCAAGACTCACTGACGATGCCGATGAAACTCCGGGATTGTACCACGTCCACGGTCCAATTTTGGAAATGATCATGCATACAATGGACTCCGATTAGGTGTATTCCTCTAAGTCTTCCCACCAATATGACCAAGTTGCGAAAACAAGGTCAAGCAACCTTAAAACTTCGTATAGCCTAACTTCGTCTACATAATGAGACATCTCAATATTTGGTTGGAGATGCTATGCTTTCCTACAGGCTGTTGAGAAGTTAAGTGGCTGCAAATGAAGCGTGAAAATGATGTAATTTTGACCGAACGGATGCATTCTTCCTTAAATTACTTTTTCTTCTCCCGCAATGTTGCCGCATGTGATTGTGCTACATTGAATGTGTGTTGTCCGCAAGCATTGCTTAGAGTGTGATTGTGGAAACCAGATTTGTGGTTAATCAAGCATCATTTGCTTGGGGATAAATCTTATTCCTTCTAACCCTCTCCAATAACCAAAAGTACTTTCAACTTAATTTCATACACTCATCCCTTCTATTCGAGATGCTGGCTATTTTATTCGTTTCTCTGGAGCATTCATGTGTCATGCTACTTTACGGAAATCATCAGAGTATGGTAGCATTTGTTCAATGAATTCCCGTTGAAGAGGCAAGAAATCTCTCTGACTTGTCCCTATGAATGTCTTTGTATGGATGGTTTTTTTCAAATTTTTTGATTAGTTAGAGTCTTAAGTCAACCTTGCTACATATATTTCATTTCACAAGTGGGCTTTTCTGGAGCTATATTCACATATTTCGTTGAAGTTGATGAAGGACTGGTAGTTGAATTTTCCTAAAATCATATTAATAAGCCTCATGTTTTTACTGAATTTCATATAACCTTGCTTCTCGAAAGGTATTCTAATCCGAGTAGAATTGGACTGCTGTTTTTATCTTGCAAAGAGACACGTTACCCAATACGCCACACTTCCACGTGAACACAACTCTTAAACATAGATACATGTACATATATGAACTTATGTGTGATGGTGCAAAAGCTCTTTAATTTAACCGGACATGTTTCCGGCATTGTTCATTTGGACTAATGGCCAAAAAACTTTTTAATATCAATATTCCTTGGTTATTTTTGACAGTTGTTACATTATCACTACCTCGATCTATATCTGGTGCTCTCATAGGTTGGGTTATGCACATATTTTTTGGCTGATTTATGAAATGAACTGACACATTCGTCGCACACCGCACACGAATTGAGCTATAAGGAGGGCTAAAATAGATACTAAATTAAAAAATGGTACCCAGCTCTGATGAAGTCTGTCATATGAAAGACAAAAGATGAGCATGTATGTAGCAAAACTGGGCTAATCTTACCTTTTCAAAAAAAATTAGAGTTACCCTAACATCAGGATATTAGCAGGTTTTTCACTAATTCAAAGAGGATTTTCTGAAGTACAGCATCTTCCATCAGGTTCCAATATAGGTTCACTAATTGTAAACCAATAGATCTTTCTGAAAACAACTTTTCTTTGTGTGTTCTTTAGCATACAGAGTGACATAAAAAAACATCCAGTATCCTCTTGAATATCATTCGTGAACCACAAATGCCGTCTGCGGATTGCGATCCTCAGCCTCAATAGCATTAACTTGCATGGCCTTTTTTACTTTTTCAGGGAGCGTTTTAATTTATTCTTTTAATAGAAGCATAACTGCGTCGAAAAAAAATCAGCAACAATAAACAAAATTTAAATAATTATATATCATGGATTGCTCTTTAAAAATGTGCTGAGATTAGTTCGTGTGAGGCAGTAAATGCTCAATTCCAGTCTATTTTTCAGTTAGAAGAGACCAAATTTCTAGGAATTCTGTCAGAATTTAAACACTAGCCTCTTAGAAAGAGGTTAAATTAAAAGTATGTTACGAGCTAGAAACACTAGATTTATGGCCCAACACTATTCCATCCATTCGCGATAGAGGATTTCCGTAAGAAATTTTAGATCTCTATTAGAGGCAGTTTTTGTGTCCAAGGCATTTAGTTGCACACTTTTATGGACTGAGATTCGAAATTAGACAATGCGAGAGTGTACGTTTTTCAGTTGGTTGAGAAATATCGAGCCAATTTTGCATTTAATTGGTCAATGAGACCTTTAGTTTCATAGGCATGATCACACTCACTAAGGATGTTAAAACCGATCTCTTCAGTTATTCACATTTATTATACAATTTCTATTCAATTTTATCGAATTGAGCAAACATAAGCAGTTGATTTTTCCACTTTACAGGTGCGGGTGAAAGTGATCGAAGCCCGTCAACTACAGGGGGCCAACATCTCGCCCATCTGCAAAGTAAACTGTTATAATCAAGCGAAGCAAACACGCGTCAAGAATTCCTCAAATTCGCCGTATTGGGGGGAAACTTTCTTCTTCAACTTCCGTGTCTCTCCAGCCGTCTTGATGGAGCAAATGATACAGTTTGGAGTGTTTAACTCGCGCCACTTGCGATCCGATGCGTTGGTCGGCAATTTCAAATTCGATCTGGCCATAGCCTACGAAGAGGATGGGCACTGTGTGCTTAACAAATGGCTGCTCCTCTGCGATCCAGAAGACACTATGTCAGGGCCAAAGGGATATCTCAAGATGTCCATTGTGATCCTGGGCCCCGGAGACGAACCACCAGTAAGGCAGCTATTTTCAATTATTTTATTTTAATATAATCAAATTAATCTACATTTGTCAATATAATTCATTTTTTATTTTTTATTATTTTGAATTATCTGTGTGTTTAAATTGACCGAAAGATCTATATAATTTTTTAGGCTTATTATTCAAACTAATGTGTTTCTGATTGCGTAATTGAGGCCATAATTAATCGCTATTAAAAGGTCACTAGGCAGTACCGTGATCGGAACAACAAATAAGTATCAAAAAATGGTCGTGTTTTTCCCTAATTTTACGTT